GATCTTGTATAGAGAGAATTCTAAGGAATCTACTAAAAATCTCTTAGATTTTTAAATAATGAATATAGGAATTCAGCAAGGTTGCAAGCTACAGGATCAATAGACAAAAACAAACTAATTTCTATACACTTACAACAATCAACTGGAAAACAATTAAGAAAAATACATTTACAACATCAAAAACAAAACAATCAGGAATAACCTTAAGGTACAAAATGCACACTCTGAAAACTACAAATGACTATTGAAAGAAAACTGAAGATCTAAATGAATTGAAAAGCATCCCATGTTAACAAACTGGAAGACTTACTATTGTAAAGATGGCTATTCTAACTAAAGTGATCTACAGACTCGCCACAATCCCTATAACTATCCCAGCTGGCTTCTTTGTAGAAACTGGCAAGCTGATTCTAAGATTTACATGGAATCACAGGGGGCTCCAAATAGCAAAAACAATCTTGAAAAAGAATAGTAAAGTTGGACAACTTACACGTCCCAATTTCAAAACTTACTAAAAAGCAATAGTAATCAAGACAGGGGAGTGGTGTACGTATAAACACATATTCCCAAGGAACACCACTAAGCATTCAGAAATAAACCCGTATGTCTACTGTCAATGGATTTGAACAGGGGTGCCAAGAACATTCAGTGGGATTTAAAAATAGTCTTTTCAACAAATGGTGCTGGGACAACTGTACATCAACATGCAAAGCATGAAGCTGGAACCCTACCTCAAATAATATACAAAAATTTACTCAGAATGGATCAAAGAACTAAGTGTAAGAGATGAAACCACAAAATTCTTAGAAGAAAACAGGAAAGTATTCATGAGTTTGGATTTAGCAATGGATTCTTAGATATGACACCAAAAGCATGAATACAAGAAAAAACAGATAAATTAAACCTCATCAAAATCAAAAACATTTTTGCATCAAAGGGCATTTTTCTCAGAAAGTAAAAGGACAACTAATAGAATGGAAGAAAATTATTTGCATATCATATGTGATAAGGGCCCACTTCCCACAATATAGAGAATCCTTATAGCTCAGCAAGACAAATTACATCATTTAAAAGTTGGCAAAGGATCTGAATAGACATTTCTCCAAAGAAGGTACACAAATGGGCAACAAGCACATGAAAAAATGCTCTTTGTCTTCTGGGAAATACAGATCACAAGATACCACTTTACACCCACCAGGATGGCAAAATTCAAAATGATAAATAACAAGTGTCGTTGAAAATATGGAGAGGTTGGAACCCTCACAAGTTGCTGGTGGGAATGTAAAATGGGACAGCCCCTCTGAAACTGTCTGGCAGATCCTGATAAAATTAAACATAAGTTACCATTTGACCCAGCAATTCCACTCCTAGGTATATCCCCGAGAAAAGTAACAACATGTGCACACAACAATTTGTACACAAATACTTACAGCAGCATTATTCCTAATAGCCAAAATGTCCATCACTAATAAATGGATAAAATGTAACGTATCTATAGAATGGCGTATTCTTCAACTATACAAAAGGAACAACACTATGATGCAGATGAACCTTGAGAACATGCTAAGTGAAGGAATCCAGTCATAATGGACCAGGTACTGAACAAGTCCAATTATATGCAGTGTCTGCAGGAGGCGCATCCACAGAGACAGACAGGAAGGAGCTCAATGGTTGCCTCGGGCTGGTGGGTAGGGAGAAGAGGGGATGACAGCAAAAGGGGGCGGGATTTCTTTCTGAGGTGATGAAAATGTTCTGAAATTGGTGAAAAAAATCACTGAGTTACATACTTTAAACAGGTAAGTTGTATGGTCTGTAAGTTATATCTCAATAAACCCGTTAGAGAAAAAAAGAAAACAGGAAAGATCAGAGATGCAAGAATGCTGGGCAAAGACAAGGGTAAGCAATACTGTAAACTACGGTTTTAGAAAAGAACAAGACAAGGAGAATACCAGACAACAACTGCAGGAAAGGTGGGAGAGGTGGGAGAAATGACTAGAACAGACCCAGTTCCTTCTGGTGTGTGTCTGCGGTGGTGAGGTCACTGGTTAACATTAGGCTTCAAATGTGCACGGTCCGACTGGACAAGTAACCACTACAGGGATAGAGAGAGAATGTGCAACTTCCCCACCAACAGAGCAAAAAATGGAATATAAAAACTGACAAGCTGGGGGCGCCTGGGTGGCTCAGTCGGTTAAGCGTCTGCCTTCAGCTCAGGTCATGGTCCCAGGGTCCTGGAGTCGAGCCCGATGCTCGGCGGGGGGCCTGCTTCTCCCTCTCCGTCTGTCCCCGCTGCACCCTTCCCCCCAACCCACCCCTCCACTCATGCTCTCTCAAATAAATAAAATCTTTAAAAAAAAAAAACAAACCTGACAAGCAAAAGTAAACAGAGGTCAGGAAACTAGACACCAGGGGCCAAATCCAGCTCACCACCTGTTTTTGTAAATAAAGTTTTACTAGAACACAGCAGCACTCCCTTTGGTTTGTCTATGGCTGACCCTGAACTACAAGGGCACGCTGAGCAGGTTTAGCAGAGGCCAGCTGGTCCGCAACGTCTAAAGCATCTACTGTCTGGCCCTTTACAGAACAAGTGTGTTGACTCCCGCTATGGAATTCTACACAACAGAGAGTGGGGGTCGCTCTGGGCTGTGGTTTCCTAGCCTCGAAATAAAGGCAATAGTCCCTGCTCTCATTTCATCAGAGGTACAAGGCTCGGCAAGTTCTTGAAAGAATTAAGTCTGTAGCCTCAGAATTGTTCTCACCCCGTTCCACCAATTCCCTCCACAACCACCCTCTTCAGACTCCAACCACCAGAGCCTAACTCCCTAAAACAGGCAGACCCTTACATTCCCACACAAGAGACCTCAAGCGCGTTCCACTACACGTGTGCTGGTGAGCGGGGCGTGTAAGGTGGGCAGTCCCCAGACAGTGTGTGTGAGCGAGCGGGTCTGGAAGGACGCACTGCTAACCACGGATGTGTGCTGCTCGGCACGGTACGGCCAAGATCTGAGGCCTGACGCCCCCTGGCCGAGCCTCCCCCAATGACATCTTGCAAAAACTACAGTGACACGGATACACACCACGATCTGATCCCAGTCTGTGTGCGTGTGCGAGTGTGGGCGCGAGTGTGGGGCCCCACGTCAGCGCGCACACCCCACCGCAGTAAGACCCGGAGCACAACCATCAGCGCGAGGCTGCCTCGTGTTGACCTTCTATAGCTACGCCCACCTACCTTCCACGTCCTCCCCAAAACACGGCCATCACTCAGCCCTCACATTTCAGGAACGTCACACAGTCTGAATGTGTGACCTCCTGGCCCTGGTTTCGTCACCCTGCACAGCTCCCTGCAGAGTCAGCCGGGTCATCTGTTGCTCAGGACTTGTGAGCATGAGCACTCCCTTCTCTGCGACACAATGTCCAGGAGTGAGAGGCCGGCCTGTAGGAGACGGGCAGGCTCAGTTCTGTGAGAAGCTGCCGCTGCTTCCCCCCTGGCTTCCTACCCCCAGCACAGATGACGGACCCACCCCTCTCTGCGCCAGCACCTGGCACCACCCCGGCCCTGGGCCAGCGTGCTGCTCAGTTTAGCCATTCTGCCGGCTGTAGTGACTGCCTGAGTCTCTTACCACAAGATTTTACATATGAGGTTAAAAACTGAAGTAGCAAAATAATCCATGTTTATCTAGTAGCAAATATGAAAGAGGGAGAAATGTATAGGGGTGCTTGCGTGGCTCAGATGGTTAAGCGTCTGCCTTCAGCTCAGGTCCTGATCCCAGGGTCCTGGGATCGAGCCCCGCATCGGGCTCTCTGCTCCGTGGGAAGCCTGCTTCTCCCTCTCCCACTCCCCCTGCTTGTGTTCCCTCTCTCGCTGTGTCGCCCTCTGTCAAATAAATAAATAAAATCTTTAAAAAGAAAAAAAAGAGAGAGAGAGAAACGTATAAAAAAAAAGTCTTCTGTTGCTTCTCTTAAAAAAAGCAGCCAAGCTGGTACCTAATCCTAATCAGTGTACCCACGCTGTAGACAACACAAGGGAGATTCTGGTGCAAAGACCCCACGTTTGGATCTCTCCCCACGCTGAGCCCCTCCGAGTATGCCCCACGACACCCTCCGTCCTCGTCCTCGACACTGAGACAGCTGTAGGAGAGGGCGCAGCCGAAGCCAAGTGGGGACCAGGACAGGCGAGCCGATGGCACCAGGCGGCTGCCCGCCTGCACACGGAGACGGCCGCTCGGCCGCCACCCCTCGGCCCTGCTAGGGGCTCCCTCACCGCCTGAGCGTCCCGCCAAACTGACAGCCCGGTGAAGCCTACGGCTCTCTCAGAAGATTTTTAAATGCAGAAGATAAACAGCAGGATGACTATATCAAACACCAGAATATTTTTTAAAACAATGTGTGACACAGTCCTGCACCGCAAAACCTCAAGAGCGACGACGAAAGATAATGTGAGGTGTCTGTAGCCACTGTGGTGAGAAACGAAGAGGTCTGGTCCTCAGTGGCCAAGTCGGGGGTCCAGCTGAGCCGACCGCGGTCGTCGCCATACTCACAGTGGAGGAAATGCTGAATTTCAGCCAGAGATGAGTGAAAATGAAGATGCCGTTTTCTTGCTATCCAAGTCCAGCGAGCCTCCGAGTTCCCTCGGAGCAGGACGAGGCCTGGGGACAGGGGCGGGTCCCAGCAAAGGCCGCAGGGGGAGGGACGGCTGCTGAGAGGGAAGTGCGGGGCAGTGGCCCTGGGTCCCGACCCCCAGCACGCAGGTGGGAGAGGGCTGGCTCTGGGCCGGCCGGAGCCCCCGGGGAGGAAGGGAAAGCCTTCCTGAAAGCTAAGGTTCCGGTCACCACCTGCCTGGGCCACCTGAGGGAAACAACCATTTTTTTTTTTTTTAACTCCCCAATTTTTCTGCTTTAAGCCCCAGGTGCAGGTAATGAGAAACAACACGCCTTAGGAAAGCCCCAAGTTAGTGTTAAGAGCCTACGGAGCACACAGTGTTTCCAGAAGGGTCTGCCCACCTTCGTCAGTGCAAAGGCCACTGTCCCATCGTCCTCAGTGGAAAGATCAAGTAGCTTCTGATAAAACGCTTCATCATAAGGCCCATCTATTTGCAACGTTTTTCTGAAAGAGAAGGCACAAAAAAAACAGGATGGCAAAGCCGCCTGGAAACGGTTTCTTAGACTAACAGTTTAACAGTCGCACATCTGCCTTTAAACATCTCAAAAATCCACTTCTTCCCAACACTAAACTTTGTTCTTAAGCAGCAATTTTAGACAGAGCGTAAGAGCAGACCCAGGGAGCCCAGGCTGCCTCTTGTTTATGACACATGGCATCCAGGCCAGACACGCTGGTGAGCGGGGAGGGGACAGAGGAGTCCAGGTCAGCCTGGCCACAAGCCTGCCACAGAGACCTCCAGAGTCCTCCGGCAGAGACCTGCGTCCTGGCAGGGCCGGCGGGTGGGGCGGAGCGGCTGGCCAGCTGTGGAGCAGCACTGCCCCCTGCAGGCTCAGCCGACATAGGACAGGGGACCGCCAGCCAGCCAGCCAGCCAGCCGGGGGCCTCCTTCACAGGCTGGGCCTGGGAGTGGCCGGGGCTGGGGTGACCCCCTTTCCCCATCCCTGTCTTGCCCTCAGGAGTGCTCGGGGCCCACTCAGCCTAGCAAGGGCAGGGCTGCAAGGGCCTGGGCCTCACCTCTCCTCAGGAAACTCCTCCAGGTACCGCTCAACCCGCCGGTACAGAGGGTAGAGGCCTTCGATGTCCAGCAGGTCCAACATCTGCACCTGGAGGGTTTTGTACAGAAGACAGCCCTTCGGTAACCCCGAGCACTCCGGGCTGTTTTTTCCTACCAAGAATATCGGGAAAACAAGAGGTTTACTGTCAAGGACTGAAGAAAGCCTGGGCACGGGCCACACCCTGCCTCACGGAGCTGCTGGGGCACGGGGCCAAGCACCAAAGACAGGCAGGGGACCCGCGTCTCATTCTGTGCTGCTCCCTCTCAAGGGCCTTCAGCTCATCACAGCAGCCCAGACCTCAGTGCAGACACGGCTCTCAGTCTGAATTAGCCAGGCACAAAAATTTAAAATGACCACACTGACGTCCCCAAACCTGGGAGACTGTGTCTGCGGAGCCCAGAGCCACAGCCCATGCTGACGGGTGGGTGGCCACATAGGACGGCAGTCAAAGCCGCCGCTGATAAACCCGCAGCAGGAAGCGGTCACCACGGTGTCAGGGTGGGCACCAGGGGCTGTGCCCCTGGGAAGACAGGGTCCCGGCCCATCCCTCCCCCTTGAAGGGGGCAGCCGTGTGCAGTACGGACACTTTGACCTCTGACCTCCCACTGCTAGCAGGACATGCTCAGCCACTTTAGACAGGGTGAAAACACACAGACCCAGCTAGGGGGATTTGCTGAAATTACAGGCTGTGTGTGGAATACCTACCTCATGGTCAATAAAAATTCAAAAAATACAACTGCTGACACACATTTGGTTATTAGGCAAAAATATCAGATTACAAAGTAGCATGTAGAGCACGATTTGTCGTCCTAGACTGCACGTCCCATGGGTCATGCTGTGTCAGCCTGTGTCCAGGGGAGGCCTGGAAGAAAAGTCCCAGGTGCCAGTGGAGCCTCAGCATCCATCTGTGTCCTTCCAGACACATTCTGTCGTCTACTTAAGAGCCCCAATATGGGCATAATTCTACCACAATTTTCTGAAATGATCAGGTATCGCTTTTTTAAGAAAAAAGCCACAAAATTCATTTGTGCTAAGAAAAATCTGGCACAGGGGCGCCTGGGTGCTCAGTCGTTAAGCGTCTGCCTTCGGCTCAGGTCATGGTCCCAGGGTCCTGGATCAGGCCCCACATCGGGCCCCCTGCTCGGCGGGAAGCCTGCTTCTCCCTCTGCCACTCGCTGTCTCTCTGTCAAACAAGTAAATAAAATCTTTAAAAAAAGAAAGAATGAAAGAAAAATTCTGCACGAGGGGCAGACGGCGGGTGATCGGCCATGCCCAGGCCGCCGCTCCGCAAACACGGCAGCACGAGAAGCCACGCAGGAGCAGGGCCACGGTCTCCCTGCACCACACCCTGCAGCGGCCGCGAGAGACCACAGGGCCTTCAGCCCGAAACGGGAATGACCTGAATCTTCCTCGTCAGCCCCCAAAGGAAGCTCCTGGCTACGGCTCCACATGACACAGTCCTGCGCATGGCACGGAGCCCGCCAGCACACGACCAAGGGACAAATGAGGAGCCTGGGAACATTCACGGCAAAACTCCAAACCTGGAGCTGCTTCAAAGCTGGGACGCCCACTGAGTCACGGCCAGCCCACTGGCAAATGGAAGCTGTGGGGGCCACCCCACCCTGAAGGGCCCAGAGCTGTGGGACTCTGGCCCTCCGAGCCTCAGCTCTCCACCCGCCAGGGAAAAGCTACCCCTCAGGGTGGCCATGCTGACGAGACGGGCTCACAGGGAAAGTGTTCGGCAAACTACTGAGGACGCAGACACGGGGAGCAGTGTTTTAGGGGAAAACCCTACAGCTCAGATAAAAGATGAGGTAGGGGGTCTCCCCAGCAGGGGCTGGGAGGCAGGGAGGGCCGGCTGTGGGGAGCCCTGATGCGGCCCAGGCTGCTCCCACAAGAGCTCCGTGAGGCCAGGCAGGACCCTGGCAGGTCACGCCACACTGCCCGCCCCTGCGCCCAGCATGGCCTACCTTGGCGGTGCAGGCTCCTGCCGAAAGGGCTGGCCTCACAGACACGAGGGCCCCGTGGCCCAGGCCCCCGCCTCAGGGCACCTGCCCAGCCCTTGTCCGAGCCGCTCAGCAGCACCCGCGTGATGACCCGCACCAGCTCCCGGATCACAGCCCTTGTGCAGTGGGGCCCGCCGGCCAGGCCGTTGGAAGGGAAGAAGAAGGGCTTCAGGTGGTGTGCGAGCTCATTCCAGTCAGCCACGGGGCTGCGAGCATCCGTGCAGCCGTAGATCAGCTCACCGTTCTTCAGGCAGGGAGAGAGACAGGGAAACGTCAACTCCACGGGCTGGGGGCAGAACACGTTTGTCTCTGCCCACTGGGCAGGCAAAGGAACTTGACACCTTACATTTGTCTCCGCCTGGGGCCCTGCACACCGTGGCCCCCTGGGGAAACCCAACCTCACGCACCATGTCACTGGCCAAGAGGCAAATCCCATTAGAACATGGAATAGAACAAAAACCTAAGAGCAGTCCTGGCCTAAAATACAAGGCCGCAGGCAAACGCAGCCCAAAGCCCAAACCCCCAAGACCAGAGCCTGTTTATCCGAGAAGCCATGTGACACCCGTGCTCCTAAGGGACACACAGTGTCAGTCTGACCCCGAGCAGACAAATTTCTTGGCCAGTGTGGGTATCCGTGGGCCACCTGCATCTTGGGGACTTCTGTCCTCTGCGACAGGCTGGGCCACGCTTCCTGCCAGGGCGGGCAAGGCTGCCCGTGTCACCACGTGGACCGTTTCGTCCCCAAGGCCATCCTGCCTTTTAAAACCAAGTCCAGTAAAGACACTCCCGTGGCACCAACATTCCCAGGGCTGCGAGCAGGGCTGCCAAGTTGGCTGACCCTGTGACCCAAGGGACCCTGATCCCCACACGCCTGAGCAGCAGTGACCGACTCCTTGTCTCCTGGTTTCCCCATCTGAGAGAGGGTGTGGTCAGCAGCCTCCGGACCGTCCCCAGGGGTCCCCTGACACTCACACCCTGTAGCCCCCTCCCCACGGTGGAGCGTGAGCAACAGCATATCCCCGGCAAGACGTTATAAAAGATGCTACGGCTTCCCTCTCGTGCCACTCCTCTCAAGCCACATGGCCACACTGAGCAGACCCTGGAGCCCCATCCCCCGCCCCCAGCCAGGAACCAAGGCGTCCTGCCCACACCATTAAGGACACCATCCTGGGAGCCCAGCCTCAGGCCTTCGCCAAGCTGTCAGAGAGGACACGGCCTCAAGAGGGACCCAGCCCCAGAGCCAGCTATGCTGCTCAATTCCAGGCCACGGAAACCGGGAGCCAGTGTGTGCTGTTATGTAGCAGTGGATCACACAGAGGAGGATGGTCACTGCCCTGTCCCCAGGTGGGACTTGACAATTCAGTCCCCAAGGTGTGGACTGGGCATTCGTCCTTCATCTGGGTCCTGCGATGCAGGAGTGTGCGTGATGCCTCCCGGGGGGGTCTCCTGTCACATGTCGGAGCAAGAGGCACCCAACTGAGGTCACTGCTGGCCACGGGACCCGGGGAAGCCATGATGAGACAACTGACCCTTGAGATGGGCATTGCCAGCAGGAAGAAGGCGTGCCAGGCAAAGGGCCAGCAGGAGCTCCTGCTGGGGAAGGAGACCAAGGTGAAGCACTAAGGGAAACCGGGCACTGGGGGCTGCCACCAAGAGATGGGGCCAGGGCTGGGCCCGCGGTGTGGTGCAGGAGCCGCCGTGGCCCGTGCAGCTGCCCTCCTCCAGGCCTGTGAGCCGCTGAGGGACTGCTGGCCAGCGGAAGCCTCTTCTCCTCGGGGTTTAAAATCCATGCAGAAAGTACAGATGAATGTGACATCAGCTGAGTGCCATTGTCCCGGGCTCCGTGACAAGGCACCACGTCCCCCACGTCCCACAAGTGTCCAGTGTTGGGGTGGACACAGCCACAGCTGTGGAGTCTGTGCAGAACACTCAGGCATGCAGGGAGGAGACTCCCACAGCGAACAGTGGCGGCACCAGCCACGGCCCGGGAAACAGCCCACACCTGACCCTGAGAACCAAAGCCTGGCTCAAGAGCAGCAATGGCACGTGCAGGAACGTGCTCTGTCGCTCCAGAGTGTTCTGAAAAGCCAGCCTGTGTCACTTCTCTTAATCCCAGCCCCAGAGCAGGCACAGTCAGCAAAGGATCTGCCGGGAAAGCTGCCCGCCTCACTAAAGGTTCCAGATCAATCCCCAGATGAAAGAGGATTCATCTTTAGGATTAAAATATAAAATCCCTTCAGTCTTCATAACAATTAAAAATAAAAACTGACTGTGAAATAGGCCCTTTTTCTAGAATTGGGAAGGTGGAGACAGACGGGTTAAAGTCCACTCACTCTGACCAGATTTCCAAGCCAGATGGGGGAAAGCAGGTGAGGAAGAGGCTCCCCACTCACCCTCCCAAACTCACTCTGAGGGACATCGTGTGCGGCGCACCCCATCGGCCCACAGTGGGACGCAGAGGGCACGACGCTGTCCAGATACAGCAGCCCTGCTGCTTGCTCCACGCAGACGCAAGGCTCGCAAGCCTGGCCCGCGCCGCAGACTCGCGCTCCTGCGGAACGCCTAACGGGGGGGCAGCCGGGGCAGGAGGCAGGGTCAGGGGTGAGGAGAAAAGGAGATGGCGAAGGGGACCCGAGCGGACACATTTCCAACACAGGCCACACTGAGCCCTCCTCCAGCTCTGGGCCAGCCCTGCTCCCCGCCACCCCCCGGCGGAGGCCCCGACTCCTGCCAGCAGGCAACCACAGGGTCTCAGGGAGCCGGGTCAGGGAGCCTGCAGATGGCGAAGGAGCTGAAGGTGCCGGTGCCGGTGCCGGGTGGTGAACGCTCCCCGTGCAGGGCCAGGAGCCCCAGAGCCGCTGAGACTTGGCTCACTGACCAAATCTGGGAATCACACGTTCCCTAAATCAACTGCGACCAAAGGCACAGGTGGGGCCGCTCTCTGAGCGATGCAGAGAACCCCTGGGACGCATGCAGCCCAGCAGAGTCGGGGCCATCCCGCCCTGGAAGCAGAGTTGGGCCGTGCGCCCCCAGGGAGCCAAGGCCGCAGCGCAGCAGCGGTCCAGGAGCTGGTGTCCCACACTCTAGGGGTCACCGGATGCCACGCCTGTGGAACGAGGCTTGGAAAAAGAACCAGCGGACTTTGCGCCAAGGCAGCCCCAGGCCAGACGCCCTCGTCGGCAAGGACCGAAGCGCCCTGGGTGCGCCCAACCCGGTGTGGACACCCAGTGGCCCCTCCGCTGAAGTGGCACGAAAGAGAAGCAACTCTTACCTTAAATATCTTTAAGTTGTTCTGAGCTTCCTGTAACAAGCTCTTCAAGGCAAAGTGCATTCTCTGTTTATTTCTAAAAGGAAAAGACACGATTGACAGAATTACAAGCCGTCTTTGCTTTCACCTGCCTGTGGCTCAGGGGACGGGACTCGGGATGTGCCTGTGAGGGCTGCTTGGAGGCTTCAGGCTCTGGGGGCTAAGGAGCCACATGCCCCCAGCCTTTCTCAGGGAGGCCTCCCATCACTGTTCCTAACCGCCCCCCTGCCCCCCAGCCGCTGCCCCCCACAGCTGAGCTGACCCCAGGCAAGAACCCTGATCTCTGCCCAGGACCCTGGCTACGGGCCAGCAAGTGGCCCCCTCCCCCACCCCCATGGAAGGTAGCCAAGGCCGAAGGAGAAGTGCTCTCTTACCCTGAGTAGAGGTCGAGGGGACAGTATTTACTTATCTGCTTCCACTTCCCGGTTGCCACCTGTTAAGAAAGCACCAAGCGCTGTAAACGACCAGCTCAGGCAGCACGGGGCCAACGCCTCCGAGAGATGACAAGGGCACCAAAGGTCCCCGCAGAGGCCAGCACCCAGGGGCCCATCATCACTAGTGGGGCCGGGGCTTGACTCCAACCCCAGGAACCCTCAGCCCTCCTCTGAGCGTCAGGTGGCTGCCAGCCCAGTGCCCCAACACGAGCAGGGAAGCTGGCAGCCACCACCTTTTCAAAAGGACACAGCGAAAGCAGCCTCTTTCCACAGCCAGCAGCACGCTGCCTCACAAAATGGCACGGCGAAACTCTGCTAATCAGATAGCAAATCCTTACAACTGTAATGTTCTCGAAGAGGAGGGTATGGCTAGTAATTTCATGTTTGGGGGGAGAAGATACATTGGCACAACCTTCTGAAAGTCAACTTGCTGGTTTCCATCAAATTTGCAATGTGGGTACCCCCTGACTTGGCAAATCTATGAGGAGTCATGAGATCAAGAATGCTCACTGCAGCCTGACTGTAATAGTGAGGTCGGGAAACAGCTTCACAGGGCATCTGCTCTCGTGGGCCAGGATGTAGAAGGCCACATGCTAAATGAAGGAATGAATAAACGATATCCAGCTACTTATGGAAAGAGGCAAAACAAAAAATCACTAACATTTATTCAATAAAAAAATGCAATTTGCCTAGGTGGAAATGATGTTACTTTGCTTAAAAAAAAGGGTGCCACCATATGTGCATATATCCAATACACGTTGAAAAAGCCTTGAAGGATACACAACAAACGATCTTCAAGAATCAGTTAAGTGAAAAAAGCAGTTAGCAGAACAACTACATATGGCGAGATCCCATATTTGCTTTATAAAAATATATATGTCCATGCACATGTAAGCACACGCCAGAATACATGTGGGAAAAGGCATCATCTCATTTCCACTTGGATAACATGTAGTTTGTGTTCGCACAGAGAGAAGTCTGGAAGGATGTGCCAACTGACAACACGGGTTACCTCTGGGAAATTCCATATTTTATCAGTTAAATGAGCAGGTGTTGCTTCATAGTAAAAACCAGTTCTTAGAAAATCCATCAAATGAATGGTGACAATGAAGACCATCTCCTAAAGGGAATGGCTGACATACCTTCTTCTCCCTAAGAGCCTAGAAAGTTGTAACACCACAAAGAAAAGATGGGGTGAGTCAGCAAAAAATGGTGGAATAAAGACCTCTGGAAATTCTCTCCTCCATGAGGGCAATGAGAAAACTGGCAAAAATTGTCAGAATCAAAATTTTCAGGAGCAGTAGGGTGGCTCAGTGGGTTAAGCGTCTGCCTTCAGCTCAGGTCATGATCCCAGGGTCCTGGGATCGAGCCCCGCATCGGGCTCCCTGCTCCGCGGGAAGCCTGCTTCTCCGTATCCCTCTGTCTCTTCCCTCTGCTTGTGCTCTCTTTCTCTCTCTCGAATAAATAAATAAAATCTTTATAAAAAAAAAAAAACTTTCAGAATTCTGAAAATTAACCAAAGGCTTGCAACAATCTGGGGAGCATTTACTCAAGAAAAATGGCCAAATCTAGGAACAGTGAACTTTGTGGCATTTTTAATACTCTCTTCCCACCCCTCTCTCTAGCTCCAAGGAAACCTTAAAAACCAACAACCCCAATCCTTCATGAAAACATGAAGGCAGTCACCGGAGGGGGCTGAACCAGGCAGGAGTTTCTCCAAACCCTCATTCCCGAAGAATGGTCATTATGTGACCTATCTCTTGATTTCCCATTTTTGTTACCTGACTCAGAGCTTACCAAGTGCAAAAGGAGCATTTTCCCAAGGGGTATTTGTAAAAACTATCAGAGGCGACTGTTTAACTTCATGGCTACCTGAGAGAGTGGATAAAAATTCAATAAAATAAAAGGTGTGGCAAACAATTAGGCTAACCTAAAGCTAAAAAAAAGAAAAAGCTGAGAAATGAGATAAACACAGGCTTTGGAAAGCTCCAGCATAACCTGGGCATCTACAAGGCCATACACAGGCTCTGGAAAGACCTTAAAAGGCCCGCCCTTCTGCTGATCTGAGGTTCTGAGGAAGTGAAGGCTAAGGAGAGTTGCAACCGCCATATGCTGAGTGTTGACGGTGGGCCCTGCGTGCACACAGAGCCACTCAGCAGAGACTTACTGGTTGCCGACATTCAGGAAAATCTCAGGGCTGAAGAACTGTCAACCAAGAGTTCTTCATCTATTAAACTATCCTTTAAAATGAAGGAGTGATTAAGACACTGCCAGAAAAACAGTAACTAAAAAAAATTAGTTGTTAGCTAACCTGCCCTACAAGAAATACTAAAGGGAACCCTTCAGGCTTAAATGAAAGGGCACTAGACAGTAACTCAAATCCACGTGAAGAAATAAAGAACACAGCAGGAAAGGAACTACACGAGTAGGTAAACACAAAAGACAATACAGATATATTCTGTTTGTGATTTTTTGGTCCCATCCCCTTTAAAGACAGAATGTCCCTCATATGGCATAAGGCAATCGTCAGGAATCTCTACTGACAAGCATCCTACATATAAAGGTTAATTTGTGAGGGGGAAGGCAACAAAGCTACAAGGAGCAGAGACTTTGTACACCAGTGAGATCAAGTTGGTATTAACTGAGCTAGACTGTGTAGCTTAAGATGTTAAATTAAAGAGTGACTAGACAGAACATCAACAACAAAACAGCAGACTTGAACCACACTCTAAACCAACTAGACCTAACAAACATCTATAGGACACTCTACCCAACAACAGCAGAATACACATTCTGATCAAGCAAACATGGAACATTCTCAAGGAGACATGAAGTCATGCAGATGTTCTCCAAAACTCAGTGAAATGAAATTAGAAATCAATAGCTTAAAAACAAAAAAATTGAGAAACTCACAAATATGAGAAATCTAAACACATTCCTAATCATCAATGAGTCGAAGAAATCTACAGGGAAATGAGAAAATTGAGACAGAATGAAAATGCAACATACCAAAATTTATGGCAGGCAGAGGGAGCAGAGAGTGCATGGAAATTTATACTTATAAACACCTATGTAAAAAAGAAGAAAAATCTCAAATCAATAACCTACATTTCTACACTAATGAACTAGAAAAGTAAGGCCAATCTAAATCCAATGCAGATAGAGGGAAGGAAATAGTAAAGATTAGTGCAGAGACAGATGAAATGAAGAACAGGGAGAAAAATGAAAAAAAGAACAAAACCATAAGTTGTTTCTTTGAAAAGATCAACAATTATTACAAATCTTTTGTCTAAATCAAGAAAAGTGACTAAAAAAAAAGAAATGAAAGAAAGGATGTTACTACCAACCTTGCAGAAATAAAAAATATTAGACGAATATTATCAACAAATTAGATGAAATGCACAAATTTTTAGAAACACACAACTACCACCACTGAGTCAGGAAGAAATAGAGAATCTGAACAGAATAATAATAAAAGACTGAATCAGGAATCAAAAATCTTTCAATAAAGGAAACCCCAGGACCAGATCACTTCACTAGTTAATTCTACCAAATGATTAAAGAAGAATCAACACCGATACTCAAACTCTTCCAAAAAATTAGAGGGGAGAGAAGCAAACACTTCCTAAATCATTCTATGAAGCCAGTTATCACCCTGATACCAAAACCAGACAAAACATCACTACAAAAGAATACTGCAGGCCAGTATCTCTTAAGGAAAAAACCTTCAATAAAAACAAAACTAACAAACCACATTTAACAGCATATTTAAGGGATTTTACACCTATAATAAAGTGGGATTTATCCCAGAAATACAAGGGTGGTTCAACATATGAAAATCAACGTAATATACCACATTGATAGAAAGGAAAGCCCCTCATGATCATCTCCATAGATGTGGGACAAAATCTAACATTCTTTCATGATTAAAAAAAAAAACAAAACTCAAAAAGAACATCTATGAAAAGCTCATGGTGAACATTACACTCAGTGATGAAAAACTGAAAGCAGGTGCCTGGGTGGCTCAGTCATTAAGCATCTGCCTTCGGCTCAGGTCATGATCCCAGGGTCCGGGGATCGAGCCCCGCTATCAGGCTCCGTGCTCGGCGGGAAGCCTGCTTCTCCCTCTCCCACTCCCCCTGCTTGTGTTCCCTCTCCACTGTCTCTCTCTCTCTCTGTAAAATAAATAAATAAATAAAATCTTTAAAAAAAAAAAAAAGCAACTGAAAGCTTCTGCCTAAGATCAGGAACAGGGTCCGGGGATCGAGCCCCGCTATCAGGCTCCGTGCTCGGCGGGAAGCCTGCTTCTCCCTCTCCCACTCCCCCTGCTTGTGTTCCCTCTCCACTGTCTCTCTCTCTCTCTGTAAAATAAATAAATAAATAAAATCTTTAAAAAAAAAAAAAAGCAACTGAAAGCTTCTGCCTAAGATCAGGAACAAGATAAGGATGTCCACTCTTGCTTCTAAACAACATTATACTGCAAGTTCTAACCAGAGCAATTAGGAAAGAAAAACAAAGGACACCCAGATTGGAAAGAACGAAGTAAAATTATCCCTATTTGCAAGTGATCTGATCATGTATACAGAAAATCCTAAAAAACTACCACCACAAAAAACAAAACAAGACAAAAAAAAATAGAGCAAATAAATAGGTTCATCAAGGGTGACAGGATATCAATGTACAAAAAACAATTGCATCTCTCACCTCACACCCATTAGAATGGCTACTATCAGAAAACAAACTAGCAAGTATTGATAAGGGTGTGAGGAAAGTGGAACTTTTATGTACCATGGTAGGAATGTAAAATGGCACAGGTGCTATGGAAAACAGTACGGTGGTTATAATTAAAAATGAAGTTACCACGTGACCAACAATCCTACTTCTGGGTATACACCGTCAAGAGAATTGAAAGGAGAATCTCAAAGGTATTTGCACACCCATGTTCATAGAAGCATTATTTTCACAAAAGCCCAAAGATGGAAGCAACCCAGTGTCCATCACTGGATAAATGGATTAAAAATGTGATATATATATTCAACAGACTATTATTCAGTCTTTTTTTTTTTTTAAGATTTTATTTATTTGACAGAGAGAGCACAAGCAGAGGGAGAGAGAGGGAGAAGCAGGCTTCCTGCTGAGCAGGGAGCCCGATATGGGGCCCGATCCCAGGATCCTGGGATCATGACCTGAGCCAAAAGCAGATGCTTAACCATCTGAGCCACCCAGGCGCCCCCTATTATTCAGTCTTAAAAAGGAAAGAAATTCCGACATATTTCACAACATGGATGAACCTTGAGAACATAAGTGAAACGAGTCAGTCACAAAAGGACAAATCCTGTATAATTCCATTTATGTGAAGTAGCTACAGTAGTGAAACTCAGAGGCAGAAACTAGGATGGTGGTTGCTGGGGGCTGAGGAAAGGAAGCGTGGAGTTGTTTAATGGGGACAGGGTTTCAGTTTGGGATGATGAAAAGTTCTGCAGATGGATGGTGGTGATGGTTGCACAACAATGTAATAACTTAATGGTTAAGATGGTAAGTTTTATGTTATGTGTATTTCACCACAATGAAAAATACATATTTTAAAAATCAATTCTATTTCTATGCAATAAACAACCTGAAAATGAAAAAAATACCACTTACAACAGCATCCAAAATAATAAAACACTTAGGGATAAATGTAACAAAAGAAGTATAAGACTTACACACTGAAAACCGTAAAATATCACTGAATGAAATTAAAATCCTAAATAAATGGAAAAACATCCTGTGTTCACAGAATATGAATACTGTTACAGTGGCGATACCTCCCAAATTGATAGGCAATTCAGTGGATCCTATCAAAACTCCCAGCTGGTTTCTTTGAGGAAACTGAGAAGCTAAAGACATCTAAATTGGAAAAGAAAGAAAACTCTATTCACAGATGGCATGATCCTGTATGTAGAAAATTCCAAAGAATCTACAAGAAAGCCACTCAGCAAAGCTGCAGGGTACAAGATCCACATACAAAAATTAGTTGTGTTTTGGGGCACCTGGGTGGTTCAGTTGGTTAAGCGTCTGCCTTTGGCTCAGGTCGTGATCTCAAGGTCCTGGGATTGAGCTCAGCAGGGAGTCTGCTTCTCACTCTCATGCTGCCCCTCCCCCCCCAAGCTCGTTCTCTCCCCCTCTCTCTCAAATAAATGGATAAAATCCTTAAAAAAAAAAAAAGTGTTTCTATACACCAGCAATAAACAGTCTAAGAAGAAAATTAAAGTAATTCCCTTTATAATCGTATTTACAATATCCTGAAAGAATTATCTAGAAATAAATTTAACCAAAGTGGTAAAAGACTTGCACCCTGGGGTGGGGGTGGGGGGAAGACTTGTACCCTGAAAGCTATAAAATATTGCTGAAAGAAATTTTAAAAGTCCTAAGTAAGTAGAAAGACGGCCTGTGTTCATGGATTATAAGTGTTAATACTGTTAAGATGGCAGTACTACCAACGTGATCTACACGTTCCTGCAATTTCTTTCAGAGTCCCAATAATTTTTTTGCAGAAATGAAAAATCCAATCCTCAGATTCATATGTAACTATAAGGAGTCTCAAAAAAAGCCAAAACAATCTTGAAAAAGAAGAACAAAGCTGGAGAACTCAAACTTCCTGATTTCAAAACTGACTGCAAAGCTACAGAATCAAAAAAAGGGCCATACTGGCATAAGGACAGACATACAGGCCAATGGAACAGAACAGAGAGCCCAGATAGAAACCACCACATTTATAGCCAAAAGATCTTCGGTAAGGGAGCCAAGACCATTCAATGGAGAAAGGACAGTCCTTTCAACAAATGGCGCTGGAAAACTGAAATTAAACGCAAAAAAAAAAATTGGGCCCCTACCTCCCTTTACAAAAATTAACATAAAATAGGGCGCCTGGGTGGCTCAGTCGTTAAGTGTCTGCCTTCGGCGTGATCCCAGTCCTGGGATGGAGCCCCGCATCACGTCGGGCTCCCTCCTCAGCAGGGAGCCTGCTTCTCCCTCTGCTCCTCACCTCGCTCACTTTCTCCCACACTTTCTTAAATATATAAATAAATCTTTAAAAAAAATTCAAAAATTAACATAAAATGGATCAAAACCATAGGGGAAAACCTGCATGACCTTGCATTAGGCAATGATTTCTTAGCTATGACACCAGAAGCACAGGCAACAAGAGAAAAAACAGACAAACTAACCTTTAGTAAAGTTAAGAACATTTGTGCATCAGAGGATACTGATGACAGAGTGAAAAGATAACTGACAGGACGGGAGGAGGTACTTGCTGGTCACACATCTGATAAAGGATTAATATCCGGAATATATGCAGAACCCCTAACTCAAAAACAACAAAATAACCCGATTTGAAAATGGGCAAAGGACTTGAACCAATATAGCTCAAAAGAAAACATACAAATGGCCGACGAGCCCGTGACAAGACCTGCACCATCACGAACCGTTAGGGACACGCAGATGAAACCCACAGCGAGCCGCCGCTTCATGCCCCCGAGGGTCACAATCACAAACAGGGACGAGAGCAAGTGCCGGCAGGGTGTGGGCGGATTAGACCCTCGTACGCTGCTGGTGGGAGTACAAAATGGTGCGAGAGCTGTGGACGTAGCTTGGCATTTGCTCAGAAAATCAAACATGACTTCTCCAGGACCCGGCACTTGCGCTCCCAGGACTCAGCCCCGAGAACGGAAAGCAGCAAGTCGAACAAGCACGGGTACATGCCCGTTCGCAGCAGCCCCACTACTCACAGCAGCCAAACGCGAGAGACCACCCACACGTCCATTGAGAGACAAATGACCGACCAGACGCTCCCATTCAACGCCAGGGCGTTCAACCACGCTCCAGGGGGATGCTCAGGGAAGAAGCCAGTCACAAAGAGCCCACGGGATCCAGGATTCCATTTACAGGAAATGGCCAGCAGAGGCAAATCCACAGGGGCAGGTGGCTGCCGGGGGCTGGCCGAATGGGGCGCTGGGCAGCGACTGCTGCTGGGGTCAGGATTCTCTGTGAGGTGACGAAATGACTCTGGAACTGGAGTGATGACGGTAGCACCATCATGCGAATTCACTAAAATCCACTGACTTACACACTTTAAACGGGTGAACTGAAGATAGGCGAACTCTAGCTCAACTGGTGACCGTGAACTACTTATGGAAGAAGACACCAGTAAGGAGCACCTACACCGCCGCCGCCTCACCTTGAGCTGCTGGTGCATGCAGTAGCGACACACCCTGCGCTTCACCTCATGCGTCACATCGCCGGAGAAAGGAATAAACCCGCATTTGGGCTGCAAAATAAACAAGGAAGGAAGAAAAAAATGTTTAGGGACCAGTCCCATACCTTCCAGGAGACGAGCTAACAGCGTGATACGCAGGAGAATCAGGAGATTTTAAGTCCCCAAGGGTTGCTCTGATCTGCAGCCCCGGCGGGAACAGATCCCTCCCACACCACATCCCATCCCATCCTCGCCGCTACAGAACTCTCCCTGGGGGGAGCCAGACGGGCCTCCATCACAGACTAGACAAAGCCCAACACTGAGCAGCTTCATGTTTCTTCTGTGACACGATGTGACAGGAAAGCCTCTAGGAGTGCGGGTCTGCCCCAGCTCCCAGCTCTAAAAAGCAGAACCCTCGTTTCCTCAGACACGGAGTGACCAGGAAGGCCCATCTAATAGCTGTTAGGCTCACAGAACACCTGCTACCTTTCTTTTTTTTTTTCTTTCCTTTTCCTCCTTCCTTCCTTCTTTCTTTCCTTCCTGCTTTCCTTTCTTTCTCTTTCATTCATTCATTCATTCATTCAAGAAAAAGAGAGAGCACGTGCATGCATGAGCAGGGGGCAGAGGGACAGAGGGAGAGGGAGAATCTTAAGCAGCTCTTATACCCAGCACGGTGCCTGACAAAGGGCTCAATTTCACGACCCCGAGATCATGACCTGAGCTGAAATCAAGAGCTGGACGCTTAACCAACTGAGCCACCCAGGTGCCCCCATCTGCTGCCTTTTAAAACCATAGTGTTGAGGCTCTGAAGACCATGCTGCCTGTCATCTGAGACCCAGAATATCCACCCTGTGGTCAGGCAAGCAGGACATCAGTCCACACAGAGCACCCGGGGGTGTGAGTGCTCAGGGTCACAGGGGTGACCCAGAAATCACTGCCGTAGAGGTTTGGAGGAAGGAGACAAACAATGGCCTGGTACATCTGGGAGGCGTCTCGAGGGGGAGAGGGCTCAGCGGGCAGCAGAGCTGAAGCCAGGCCCTAGCCCTCCTCCACCAGGGGGACAAACCAGGGCTCCAAAAGTCACACAGGCTTCTGAGCCTCTGGGGAGGTCTCTCCTGAGTAGGAAGCAAAGGAACAGAGCGCCACCCATCAGACGGGCACCAACGGAACTGAGCTCCTGGAGTGGGGTGTAGTGTTGCCAAGCAGCCAAGGGGCATGGCTTGGAAGGGGGTGAGAAGGGGGCCTGGCAAGCAGCACCGTCCCAGGAAAACAGGGAAGACAGAACCCAACACACTTCCTTCTGCCAGTGGCCATCTGCTGGCTCCACGTCATAGCACCAGGAACAGGCCTAAATCTGAGGGTCTGGCCAGTGGGAGGAACCAGAGCAGCAAGGTGCAGGTGACAGACACGAAGGAACAGGAAGCAAGCCAAATCTATGGGAGTTGGGGGCTGGGAAGGGGCCATGAGGCCCAGCGTGGGGAACCCCAGGAGCTTCTGCTGCAAAGTACGCTCCAGGTAGAAGACTGACAATTTACAGTCTGGACCCTTGTTCCCCTCCCCACACACCATCTTTCCCTCGACACAAGTTCACCTTGATCTCTACACACAGAATCGGCCGGTGCTCTGCAAAACGGTAGGTCTGAAGTCTGGCTAAATTGGGAAGGCACAGGGCATAGCCACTGAAAGTGTCCAGGTCCTTGTCACAGCGAGATTCTGAAAGAGCCAAGAAAAGACCTGAGAATCAGCACAGGACAGACAAGAGAACCAATGGCAACATGGCGGACTCCTGTGGGGGAAGGCTCAGCCCTGCCCAAGAGAGGCCGTGGCCTCGGGCTCCTGGGAGGCCTCCAAGCCTCGGGAGGTCCTGCCTAAGGAGCGTCCGTGTTTATCTGGGGGCTCTGGTCACACAAGTGTAACACTGTGATTCACAGCGGGGGTCTGGGCCCTGCAGAACCAGCTCCACCTCCAGAGGGGCAGCCAGCTGTGTCTGTGTGCCCCAGCCCCAACCCTGGCTGGCACTCCTCCTCCGTGTGGTCGCACCTTGTTGCTGGGAGAAGCAAGCAGTGTGTGCACAAGTCCAGTGGAGAAGCTGCCTGGGAGCTCATGCAAGTGTCTCTCAGATGCGCCCCAGAGCCTCTCCCCTGGTCTGGGTGTCATCTGCATCCCTCAGTGCGAGAAGCCTTAGTCATGAGGATAACTGGGAGTTCAGGTCCTTCTAGCAACTCATCAGACCTGAGGTCAGTGTGGGGACCCCCAACTGTGTGAGCGTTGCCAGAAGGGCGGGTGGTCTTGGGGATCACCCCCAACTCTGCGATTCCCTTAGCCCAGGAGCTGAGAAAGGAAGGAGACAACAGCCTCACCTCCCATCCACAACCGGTTCCTTCAGAGCCCTCCAACACCGCTGCTTCTTGGAACCAGATGTCGGGCCCAGGACAGCCGCACGAGACGCAGCCTCTGGGCCCCCAGGGGAATCAGCCTTCCTCCATTCGTGTAAGGAGGCCAATTAAAAGGCATTATTACAACAAGGGACAGTTCTTATGACTGCCACGTTGGATACGTTCAGTTGATAATTATAAAACCAAATGACAATGCAGAGCCCCTAGAACAAGCATCAGTCTGTCCTCGTCTGGCGAGGAACAGCCAAGACCCAGTCCTGGCTGGGACGCATCTGTGGCCTCCTTCCCACACCAGAGCCCTGCTCCGCACAGCACCCCAAACCAGAGGCTCTGGGGCACAGCTGCCCTGCTTGCTTTCTATTTCCTAATCACAAAAGGACTGGACACCGGCCACCCCCCACACCGTGGATGTCACATCCGGTTTCTGACTGAAAGGAAAAGCTCTCATGTGCCACGAGCACTGCAGAAAGGCACGGAGGCGGCGGGGAGAAGCGGTCACATCTGTCCGCTGCCTGCAGAAGGCTGAGCAGCCAGGTGGATTCCCGCTCCTGGGAGAAGGTCCTCAGGGCGCCTGGGCCGCCCCAGTCTCCTGGACTCCCGCAGCCGCCCTCCCTGCCCTAAGTCTGCACTACTCCAGCTCCCCTTTGGGCTCAGATGCTCTGTGCAGTGAGGGGAGTATCTGACGCCCAGAATCGCATCCACACGCTCCGAGCACGTTCTAACTGAGAATAGTTTCTGGCAGCAGAACTGCTGAAAACTACATCGACCTAACACGAGTAGTGTGTCAAACGTTTTCCAAATGGAATATTTAAATCACCAACAAAATTTGCAAGCTGGAACTCTTACCTGGTCTTTCGGACTGTATCTTTAAACAAAGCTGTTTCACGAAATCTAAAGGCAGTTGAACCACTTCCTGCAAGAACAAGTATGAAATACTCAGTGCACCGCATGAGTGTGAATGTGCTTAATGCAACACAACTGCACACTCAAAAATGGTGAAAATGGCAAGGTTCATATTATGTGTATCTTACCTCGTTAAAAAATTACTTGTATGTGGGTTTAGAAATAAAAGCTGCTCTGTCGTTTTGAGGACGCAACCAGATCAAACCGACGCGAAGGTTTCTGTGCGTGAAGCGACAGGCCCTCCTCAGAGCACTGGCTTCCGCGGTGAAAGGTGTGCCACCCAGTCGGTCACTGCGCCCGCACCCCGGCTCCCCCCCAGCCGTCTGAGGCCGACAGGGCCGGGCTCACCCGGTGCGAGAAGAAATCCCGCCATGACGGGAGTGCAGGGAGCAGCAAGCGGGATCCGTCCAGAGCCACAGGTAACTCAGCTGCTCTCAGCACACCGTCCGCCAGCCCCCTTGCCTAAGTCGGTCACCAAGGTAAAAAGTAGAACTACATTTCCTTAAACCTTAAATTCCCAATTTTATGATGAGTTCTATGTTAGGCATCCTTAACACTTGGCTACATTTAACCAACCCGATTCAGACTCCTGAACCAGCGTGAACCACGCCATCCTGCCTGACCGACGGACAGTGGTAGTCAGCAGGGCAGGCGGCGAGCACCTACCTGCACCAAGTATTAACTTCGGAAGAACTACAGTTAAGACCACAGAATTCCTCTCCCGGAAGTGTAACATGGACGGCGTAGCCACACCAGGTGCCCTGCTGACGCGCACCTGCCCTCGAAGGGATGCAGGATGGCCACAGAGGAGGACAAAGAGCCACCAGCCTGGGGGGAGCTGGGAGGTGAGCAGCATGTCCACAGTCTTCCAGAAGCTTCCCCCGGAGAACGGCATCCCCTCACTTATCACTTCAAGTTCAAACGTGAAGTCAAGGCTGCCCCAGTGGCATTCACCTCGGGAGGACGGGGTCCACAAAAGCAAGGCAACACTTTTAAAATTCCATCAGTGTCTCAACCGCCCGAAGTACTGAAGATGCAAGACCTGAAGGCACCAGGGAAACAGCCTCTTCCACGTTTCCTAACCTCCAGCTCCCCCGGAGACAGGCCCAGACTAGTCCCCAAACCCGGCATGATGGGTGTGCCTGTCACTCCGGGCCTCACAGTGCTGCGCAGGCCTGTCCGTGTCTTGTCCCAGGACACTGAGGAGGGAAGGGCTCTCGCCAGGACTCCACCCCCCACCCCGACTGGCGTCAGCAGTCACTGTTTACACATGCTGGTTTTGCCTGAACGTGGCCTTGTGCAGGCCAGAGAGGTGATGTTCCTGCATTTCAACCATGCGTCCAAGGAAGAAAAAGCAAGTGGCGCTTCACTTTGGCAGGGTCTTCATGCAGAGAACATGTGTCAATGCGGTGGATATTCCCAGGATGTAATCTCGTGAGCTCACCTCATTTGCCCAGAGCCCCATCCACTGTGGACAAACAGAACCCAACCTGGAGCCGGAGTGCACCCTGGGCCCTGGGGGTACATCCTGATGCTGTTCCTACCTGCCAGACCACTGTTGGCTGGGACCCTGAGCTCCCTATCGCCCTATAGACCCCTCCTAGGAGAAAGGTCTAGAGCATCCCCCAAGTGCTGCGAGCAGAGAAATGCCCTCTCCTCAAGGAGAAAGCTGGCATTCAGCACGGCTGCATTCACTCAGACACCATCCAGGCTGGTCAGAGACGTGGCGCTCCCACAGCCATGGGTTTCTGGCCTTCACAACTCACCGGGACAGCTGGGGACCTCATCAGGACAGCCCTGGGCACTCTCGCCCCTGTGTAGCCCCACACTGCCCAGGGCTGACCTACGAGGCCAGCAGGATGCCATGGAAAGGACAGACACGACCCCAGGACAGGTCATCTCTCAGACCACAAGCCGGGGCAGCCAGGGCCAGGTCGTACAGACACTCAGAGCCCGGTGGTGAGCCCACGTCAGGAGGTGCTGAGGCCCCCCAGCCAGCACCACCCTGCCAGCTCCACGGCGGGCCCACCCTGAAGAGGGTCCGCAGCCCCAGTGAACCCCTAGCAGCAGAGGGCTCAGTGATGCCGTTCGGATCTGCCCTGAGAGCCTCACCAAGCTGGAGCCCCCCAGTGATGACAGGGTGCCGGGGGCCAGGGGTCCTGGCAGAGGTGGATCTCACGTGGTCTCTCTGAGCCTCATGTTTCTCGGCTAGAAAACGGGAACCGGACCTGCTCCGTGCCTCCCACGCAGCCCCGGAAGAGAAGCACTTGGAATACAAGGGTCGTCAGGAAGCACAAAGGTCCAAATTGTAGTCCGGAAGCTGGTAAGACTGACAAGGAACGTGCCTGTGAATTCAGACTGTGTAAATCAAAGTCACTCACCCCACAATGGACTGAGTTCTCCCCCAAAAACTCTTTCATGACATTTTTGCTGAAGTCCACTATGTTCTGTAGGTGCTGAAATATTTCTTCTGAGGTCTGTAAAAGAGAAGCACAGGGAGGCCTCAATGACCAGGGGAGTGGGGCTGTCATGTCGCGGCTGCACACCCACCGGGCACCCAGGCCTCAGGGGAAGGGAGCCTCACCCATGGAGACCACCAGACCCACCGGAGCTCCCCTCCCGCAGCCCCGCAGGCCCCACCCTCCTCCCACCCAGGACACCCCCCTAACCAATGCCACTTTGAAAATCTCTCCCAGCCAAAAATCAGCAGGTATTTGGATTTGGGTCCTCAGCATCCAAATGGAGAATATTTCCTCCCCAATTAGAGGCTCTTAACCCACAGGCTGTGAGATTAGGGGGAGGAAGGAAATCAGCCCTGAGTCCCTCACTCTGGCCCAGGGTGGCAAGTCCGGGGGTGGACAGCAGGGCCCTCAGGGGCCAGCAGGCCATGGGCTCTCGGAGGATCCCAGACTGAGCTACCACCCACGCCCCATACGACACGCAGACCCCAGCCTGCGTGGGAGCAAAGCCCGAGATAACACCCATAGCGCTCCCAGGGGCACCTACAGTTGTGGCCACAGAGCTCCTGACAAAAAGCTCCTCTTGTCAACAGAACTACCCCATGCAACTCCTCTCCACGACCGGTGTCAAGCCATTTCGTTCGTAAAATAAAGACAAACTGTTGCCTAGGATGACGCTGCCTCACATCCAGAGAACGTGACCTTTCCAGGCACTGCAGACTGCTCAGGGGAATGGATGGTACAAGCTGCCTGGAGAAGGATCTAGCTTCCACTCGGATCCACTTGATTTCACAGGAACACAACACCCTGAACGCCTCTCGCGGCAGCTGAGGCAGGAAACAGCCTCCCGCCCGGGGCCACCTTCTTCCACACCGTCCCCAGGCCCCCCAGCTTTCTACCTCGGTCCCCTCGTCTCCTTCTGCGAGGCCCTTCTTTTCCACAGCCGTCCACCTCACCTGCCCCCCTGGCGAGGTCTCTCAACCCAGATGAGCACTGACTCCTGTCTCCCACACCTGGTGGGGGACCCAACTTCCACCCACCCCTCACCCCCCACCTACCATGGGGCAGGACCCATGGCCCCTGCCTGCTCTTTTTAATCACCCCCAGACGAACACCACAGCCGCTTCCCACCTGGAAGGAGACAGACACCGCTACTGGGGGGCAGCTCGCCAAGCATGTCCACGGTGCTCTGCTTGGGTGACTCAGCGAACAAAAACCCCGAGCTCCACCTGCACGGCCTGCTGTGACTTGTACCACCGTCGGCCAGAGCACCCAACCCACCGGCAGAGCTACGGCCCCACGGATGCAGAAACTGAGCCAGCAGGGTGGCAAAGCTGAGCCCCGGCCCTGGGTGTCCAGGCCACAAGCAGGGCTCTCTGCCTGCTCCTGGCTCAGCACCCCAGACCTTCCCAGTGGACCCGAAGTGACTCAGGCAGGTCAGAACGCTGGCCCCGCAGGAACTACGGACACCCCACTTCCTGCGCCCAGTGCTGGGTCACATTTAAATTTCTACAATTAGCACTAATACTTGTGCATTAGAAAAAAACCAAACTTTTGTCAAATAATTGTTTTAATGATGGGGTGGCAAACCCACCAATCTTACCTTCTTCCTGCTTGGAGGGAACTTCAGGAAACGCAGCACCACACAACGCTATTGGGAAATAAAACAAAGTCCAGTCAGTGCCTGCCCCAAGCCTGGGGACAAGGGGGTGGCTGTGGGGAGGGGGACCAGGCCTGGGCCCCGGGGCGACCAGGAAAACCGGACACCTCTGGCCCAGCCAGCTCATTCCCAGGAATCAATCTTACAGAAATAACTACAGTGCATGGGAGATTGCAGCTACTGCAGACAGGAGTGTGGTTCATAATTCCAAGTAAAATGGAAACAACGCAAGGGGCCAAGAACAGTGCCGTGGCTAAACACAGCACGACGCTGTCCACACTGCAGAGCGCTGGAAACTAAGACCGAAGTTCACAGATGCAGGGGTGCAGTCGTCACCCACTGGTGAGTGAGGATGGGCACAAACGGGGCTTTAAACACACTCGTGCACATGTGTATGGGTACAACTCCATTCATGTCAAGTTCAAAAGCCAGTAAGAGCAAGACCTGGCGACTACCCCACAGGTGGGTGGGACTGTCCCTGAGGAATGTTCTAGAAGGGGCTGGTCACAGGATTACAGGTCCACGCGCTCTGTGATAATCAAGCTACATACGCACTTACGATCCAGGCACGTTTCTGTAGGTTTGTTACACTTCATTTTTAAAAGTTCATAAAATAGGGCACCTGGGTGGCTCAGTTGGTTAAGCAACTGCCTTCGGCTCAGGTCATGATCCTGGAGCCCCCAGGATCGAGCCCCGCTTCGGGCTCCCTGCTCGGCGGGGAGTCTGCTTCTCCCTCTAACCCTACCCCCTCTCGTGCTCTCTCTCTCATTCTCTCTCAACTAGATAAATAAAAAAATAAAAGTTCACAAAATAAAAAGTTTTAAAGTATGTACGCACTCGGTTTGTATGAAATAGTCTGAAAGGACTCAACTCAGGTGACAGTGTCTCCAGGGAGCAATAAATGGGACAACTTCTTAAAGTCCGTCCAGCACAAGATGCCGGGAAAGTGGAGAGAAAGGGCCAGGCTTGGGGAGGCCCTGCAACCTGACTCAGGGCAGCTCTGCAGGTGACTGAGGCAAGGCCCCACACTTCACGCCCTTGAGGACACTGAGAGAGAATCTAGGATTTTCACAAGCTGAAAAAGTCAGTGAATGGAGGCATGACGTACACGCACATTAAACCATCTCAAAGCCCACAGTGAAGGACACAACTTGTCACTTATAAAAGGAACAAAAGTATTCGCTGCTCCAAAGGTCCCAGGTGGGGGGCGGGGGGCAGGGGGCGTCGTGTGCCAAGCGGCCTGGGAGATGTGCCTATGACCCACTGAGAACCCACCTCTGCACAGCCGGCCCTAACGGCACAGCCACACGGATATCTGACCACGTGGAGCGGGGACCCCAGCTGCCCAGGGGCTCTGCAGCTGTGAGCACGAGGGCAAAGGATTTTCTACACACTGACGCTGTGAGGTTGGATGAAAAAGCGGAAGACAAAAATGGACAGGGAGGATTCCCAAGTACCCAATAAAAGCATAAAATGGAAGCAAGTACACCAAAGTTAGGACAAAAATTATTTTCGTAGTGGGAAAATATTAGGTGCTTTTCACTTCCTTCCCTCCAATATTCTCTATTTTCTGGGCAGTAATTAGGAGCAAATAAGCATGAAAGACCACAAAAAACAACATACTAAGAGAGAGGGCTGTCCGCGAGAAGCCCGAGGGAGGGTGGACCCAAGGCTCCAGGGCCGCCCTGTGGCCCGCGGCCACCAGCAGGCCCAGGACACGCTGGGAAAACCGCAAGGCAGTGGGGACCAGGCGACTTCCAAGGGAAAGGGAGAGAAACACAACAGAAAGACTTACCCCTCGGGGCGCTGCCCCCAGGGCCCGGCCCTGCTGCTCGTGAGGCCTAGCCACAGCCTAGTCCGTCAGAACACCAGTGACAGAACCCCAGCCCACAGTGTGGTGAGGGGACGAGGGCCAGGACAGCTGCTGGGCTCACCGCCCCACACAGGGCAGACGGCAGCGAGCCGTGTCACAGAGGGCAGTCAGGATGCCGCAGGGAGGCCAAACAGGAGGGGCGCATGGGGATAGCAAGGGCCTGCAGCGGGCAGGATATTTTCCTTCCCAGCCTCCGGCTGCCCGGTCTGCACCCACAGCTGCCACAGGACTGACGCGGTCACGGATTTGAGCAGGGAGGCGGTGGGGGGCAGGACAGTGGAGGTGTAAGCCCGGCCGACATCTGGGGGCCGGACACCTGGGGGCTGGGGCAGAAGGGGCACTTGGCGGGGGGGGGGATCCCTGAAGGGATGGAAAATCCGACAGCCAGAAGAGAAGTCGAAGGATCTGAAAGACAAACCCCAACTGCACGGAACACACAGTGTGGGTGTCCTGGAGAAGCACAAGCAGGTCCACACACACACAGCGAGGTGGGGGAGCCCGTGCTGCAGTCGGGTCCTTCTGCAGGAGACACAGAAACCTTGCAGACCTTCCTGGTCAACAGGGCAACTGCCATCCGGACTGAGGAAGCAGTGCACGGCGGGCGGGGAAGCCACCAAGCCACGGCAGGAGACCAGGCCCAGACAGGCAGAGCCCGCAGACCAGGGAGGCAGAGCTCAGCTCACCAAGGTCAGGGCTGGAAATAACAAATCCTAACATGTGACTACAGGTGATCCCGGGAACAATTACAGGCAGGGCCACGGGCAGAGCTCTCTGGTGAGGCCTCCCCAAGAAAGAAATCACATCAGCTGTATCAACCTGGACAAGCAGGTTGAAAATTCCAAATAGAGCATGAGCTACTTCTTTAAAAAAAAAAAAAAAAAGAAGAAGAAGAAGAAAGAAATACTAGAGGCAACAAAAAGCTAGGATTCTTTGAACTAGATTCAGCAGAAAATTTAAAAAAAGCCTAGAACAGAACAACCCTCATCTGTTTGCAACACCTCCATTACGTATGATCTACGACCCAGAATCTTGAACCCAAAACAAGAAGAGGAGTCCGACGGCCCCTGACTGCTTAAACCTCGCATCTTCAGGACCCAGACAAACACCCAGGGCATCCAAACAATCACAGAGGTGAAGAATCCGACAACCCCTCAGAATCTTAGAAAGGCTATAAAACCTGAGAGGGCAGAAACTAGCTGCTTCCCTCACGCTTCTGCAGAAGATCCTTGTTGGCAGGTGTTTCGTGTTTACCTGTCGACAGGGAAGAAAGCATCCCTGGAGCTGAGTGTGACAACCCCCGGGTGAGGGGAGCTGGACGGAGGGCAGCTTGCTCCCACCACTGGGGACACTTCAGAGATGGACTGACAAGCCAGACTCGCGACCTTCCCAGGACAGGGCAGAGTCAAAGACACTGAGACGAGAAGGTGAGGAGGGTGAGTGCAGATGGAGAAGCAGAGAGAGAGAGAGCCCACGCGGCAGCACACTGAGGGCAGCCACAGCTTGACCACAGCTCAGCGTGAGCGCAAGTGTGACTGGCTGCTAGAAGAGCCACAGCATCCTTGGGCTACAGCAGGAGTGGACAGTGCATGCCCACGGGGGAGATGCCCTTGCCCAGGACCCCTCCATGGGGTGGGTGCCTGGAGTCCCACCGGGTACGGTGCTGGGCAGGCCACAGCCTCGGAGCAGCACAAAGGGTCAGCGCCAGACCCAGGGGTGCTGAGCGCCAGGCCCAGGGCCACCTGGCATGGAAGAGCCACCAGAAGTGGATGGCACCCTGTCAGGAACTGGCCTACCCTCGGGTCTCACACTGCCCAGCCCTCCCGAGCCCACACTCAGCTCCTCTACACTCAGGCCCCACAGTCTACAAGTCCTGCGCTCCTCAAAGCCTCCCAACCTGCCAGCCCGGATGACGGTCTGTTACCCCATGTTCCTTCAGTGCAGACCCTGGACCTCAGGACTGGCATGCCAGCACCCACGTGCTCATGCTGGAGAGGAGAGAAGATGGCCTTGGCACTTTTTAAGGACGCTCAGTTCTGAAAGCTGAGTGGGAAAGTGACAGTCTCCCGACCTGCAAGAACCCCAGCAAAGCTGCCCTCTCCCCTGGACTGAATGAGGTGAGTCTGGGGAGCAGGAGCCCTTGCTCACTCTCCCCTGCACATGCACCCTGTCCTCGGGCACAGCAGGGCCCTGAAACACTGTCTCCTGGGCTCTACCCTCCTTCCCATGCCTCAGGGCCCAGGCGAAGCACAAAGGCCTCTCCACATTCAAGAGACATGGTCAGAAACTTCACTTGGTGGGAACGTTTCTCCACAAGACTACTTGCAACAAGGAGCTAACAACACCCACGCAGAAATGAGCGCAGCCTTACGTGACATTAAGATACACCACCCATCATACTAAGGAACTGGAACATGAGCATTTCTTCTGTGAAAGGGTTCAGGGGTCACCACAATAACCCAACACCAAAGGGACCAAGGCTGGAATATCCCGTGCTCCGCCCCACCCTCAAACACCATGGGGGCCCAGCAGACGGCCCAAAGAACGGCTTTAGGTTAAGCCTGGCCCGTTACTCATCTAAAGATCTTGACCGAAGCCTGCCATCTCAGTTCAGCTTCCTGATTGTGCAAATAGGTAACAAAATGCAAAGGCAGATCACAGGGGCCACCTGGGCAACTGCAGCCTCCCCTACAGCCAGCACAGAAACCACAGAGCAGGGCACCACCGGTAGGAGCTGTTGGACCAGGTCAGGGCGCTCACCGGAGTCCAAAGAGGATGACAGTGTTCACTTGCCCAGCACCTGCTCACCTCATCCTTCTAGCAAGTCCACAATAGGGATTCTGTTCCTAGTTCCACTTTGCAAATGCAGAAGCTGCGCGCGTGGGCCAGGCAGTGGCAGAACTGGGATGGCGCCCAGCTGTGTGACTCCAACTCCCCAGCTCTTAACCCCTTGGTGACACCTAGGGCTCCTCCCCTGCCCACCACATTCCAGCGTGGTTGTATCAGCAAAACGTCAGAGGTTTGGGGCTTTACACAAATCCACAAGCTTCTCTTCCTGGATTCACTCCCTTGCGTGTCCTTATTGCACTTTCTGAAACTCCGGCCCCTCACTGAATTAAGAAAGAGAAACCCTTTAAATTCTAAAAGATTTTGAAGAACCCCTGGACAAGACTCCATTATTAACAGCAGCTGCAGGAGCACAGCAATTCCGTGCGTCTCGGAGGATACACTCCCTCGACGCCCGCCCGCCGGGAGATAACAGCATCCCGGGCACTTCGCTGCTTCCTCTAGAGCTGGGCGCACCCCCATGCAAGCTCCGGCTACCCCCGGGGCGGCTTCTCGGCGCAGCCTCCGCCCCACCGCGGCTGGGCAGTCGGAGATGGCACCGCGTGCGGCCGGGGCGGGATGGGGGTGCTGGGGGTACGCGGCCCTGACCTGGGGGAAGGGGTGACACTAGGCGAGGGGAAGCACCGACCTGGGGGGAGGGGTGGCACCGGGGGGACGAGGAACTGACCCGAGGGGACGGGGATACGGGGGACGCGGAACTACCCGGGATGGGGGAGGGGGTGTGGGAGAGGGGTGCCAGCGGGTCGTGGAACCGACCCTTGGGGCGGGAGAGTGTTGTTGGGGGTACTCGGAACTACCCGGGGCGGGGCGAGGGGTGCCAGCGGGTCGTGGAACCGACCCTTGGGGCGGGAGAGTGTTGTTGGGGGTACTCGGAACTACCCGGGGCGGGGCGAGGGGTGCCAGCGTGTCGTGGAACCGACTGTGGGAGAGAGTGTTGCTGGGGGAATCGCGGAACTCCCTGGGGGCAGGGTGAGGGCCCCGGACCGCGCCAACCTTCCGCCGCTCACCTGCGCGTGGGCCACCACCAGGCTCTTGTTGCCTTCGCCGTGGTACCCCCATTCATTCTCGTCCATCTTCCCCTCGTCCATCCCCCGGTGCGGCCCTGGCGCCTCTCGCGGCCGCGAGCTGGAGGCCGCCGGTCCGCCGGGGCACCAGCCGCCGCCGTCGGGGGAGGAGCGCCTGTCAGCCACGGCCTCCACTCCACCCTGCCGCCCCGACTCCCAGGCTCCGGCCGCCGGAAGCCACGCCCCCGGTGGCTGCCATGGCTGAACCGGGCAACTTCCGGGTTCGCGCCCGCTTCTCCTCCGTTGACCGCTGCGGCGGATGGGCAGGTGGCCATCTTGGGTGCTGGCACGGTGACTCACTTCCGGAGCGCGGATTTGAGAACCGGAAAGGAGGTTTCCGGCCCGGGCGCCGGAAGTGAGGCAAGCGGGAGGAGCCGGCGGCTGCTCGGCGCCCAGTCCCGGCCTGGCGGGGAATAGAAATCCGGCTGACCCGGAGAGGGGAAGGGGGCGGCCGCGCGAGCCCGCAAGTTGGGGAAGGGGTATCCAGGCAGGCCGGGGGTAACGGTGGTCCACGGGGGGGGAGGGGGTCCGTGAATGTCGGACCGCTCAGTCGTGGAAGCCCCGCAAGGCACTTGGCGTCCTGAGCCCCAGCTTCCTTTTCTGTAAAGTGAGATGTGACTCATCTCACACGGGGTTATTAATATCACCCTGTGCTCGTTACCTGGCGCAGAACCACCCCAGCAGTCCCATGAAGTGGAAGCATCGTCCTCCGCACTTTACAACTGGAAGCGTGGCTCCGGACGAGTAGGTTTCATGGAGCCTTGAGCACGAGGCTCGGGGTTAGTGGCGAGCCCCTCCTCCCTGCACCAGCGATGCCGCCTTGTAGAGCTGCAGTCACGGTTCCGTTGGATCAGCGGCTCCCAAACTCTGTCTCAAGACCACTTCATACCCTAAAAATGATTGAGGGCCTCAGAAAGCTTTGCTAATGTGGGTTGTATGTGTCGATGTTTACCGTATTATAAATGTGAAATTTAAAAGAATAACATTTAAAAATAAACGTTACACTTTTGGGGCGCCTGGGTGGCTCGGTCAGTTGAACATCCAGCTCTTGATTTCCGCTGAGTTCACGATGTCCGTGTGGGATTGAGCTCCCCTCCGGCTCTGCGCTGGGTCGGGAGCCTGCTTTTCTCCCTCTCCCCATCCCGCAGCTCCCGCGCACATGCTCGCGAACTCTCTCACTAAAACGGATAGATCTGGGGCGCCTGGGTGGCTCAGTTGGTTAAGCGACTGCCTTCGGCTCAGGTCATGATCCTGGAGTCCCGGGATCGAGTCCCACATCGGGCTCCCTGCTCAGCAGGGAGTCCGCTTCCCCCTCTGACCCTCTTCCCTCTCGTGCTCTCTCTCATTCTCTCTCTCAAATAAATAAAATATTTTAAAAAAATAAAAAAATAAAACGGATAGATCTGTAAAATAAATAAATGTTACACTTTTAAGAACATATTTCCCAAAAATATAGAGAACAATGGTAATTGTTTTACATTTCTGCAAATCTCCTTAAAGTTTGGATTCATAGAAGATAGATTCTCACATCTGCTTCCGCATTCAATCTGTTGCAATATACTGCTTTGAAGTATTTGAAGAAAACCAAGCTTCAGATCTACGGTTCAATACAGAAAGAGCTACAGACCCAACTTTGAGAACAGCTTAGAGCACCAATAGGCACCTGTCAAGGCCTCAGGAATAGGAGTGAAATGAAGCCAGTGAGTCAGGAAAACAAGCTGATAGTGTTGAGGCTTGGCCCGGGTAGAAGGCTGCTCAGGGGCCCTCCCCAGGGATGGTTGAAAATGGGGGGAGGGTAGAAACAGCCCACTCATAGGAGGTAAGTAGTCCCCAAGGGGAAGGAGACGCTCACTCACAGAAGGCCTCGCACCCTCACAAGGCCAGGGGACCCTAAACATGTCTGAGATTGAGTTTCTCAGCGTCTGTGAACAGAGAATTAGTATCAAGACATTTCCTTAAGGAAGACTCCGGTATGGAGAATATTCTTTATTTGGGTTTCGTTTTCTTGTTTTTTTTTTTCAAGGAGCATTTTTTATCACACTGTTTAGAAGTACTAGCATATGGTGATGATTAAAAGATTACATTTGGGTGTCGTGATTGTTTTTAAATTCTCCACAGATGTACCTGGTGGACCATGCCCACCCTACCCCCACCCCATCCCCAACTTGGTAGGCACTGACTACAGTCAGAGACAGGTGCTTTGAAAGCATTATGGTAACAACATGGAGGAGAGTGGATCCATCTGCAGAGGCCAGAGGAAAAGATAGAAAAGACATGAGCATTAGGAGAAGCACCTCTTCCTCTATTCAGCCCATGTGGTCTGACTTAAATTAATATCATTCCTAGTCTCAAGGCTGGCTTGTGACCTCAACCTGTGTGCAATCAAGAACTATATTCTCAAGGAATTACATCAACCCAGGAATTGGTTCAGAAGGGTGCAGAGATGATCCAGGTTCATCCAGTGAAGCTCACTCCGCTGGCTTGTGTTGAAGTGATCATGGGGAGAGTCACCCTCAGCTGGGTGACTAAGAAGCCAGGAGATCTAGACATCTTTGATGGCAGCAAACAGCTGGGAAGTGGTGAGGATGGGAACACCTGGTGAGCCCAAGGATCGAGTCCTACTAGGTTGCTTTTAGGTTTCTGATGCAGCAAATTCCATCTTTTGCTAAAATAATTTGAGTTGAGCTCCTTTCACTCACAACCTGAGGAGTCCAAGCTAATAACTGGGTCCACTGGGACAGACCAGTCACCTCAGGTAGTGATGAAGTGAAACCAAGACCAAAAGGCCAAGGTTAGCAGGGATTCCTGCACAAAGCCTGTGTCACTAGGTCCCAGCTGCACTGCCATGGTTAATCAGGGCCTTCTTTTGTGCTTAAGAAAGAAGAAAGGGGAGGAGAAGGGAGGAAGGAAGAAAGAGGAGGTGGGAAACTCACCTTCCAGCCACACTGAGCAGCCATCCAGAAACAAGGTGGCAGAACACTGGGAAGTAGGGGCCAGCGATGAGTACTTCCTGTTGCTGTTGTCACGTGTGTCTGAGGTCCTCACTGCACAGTTTATGTTTGATGGACGTGTGCAGTAATGTGTATCACCTACTGTGACATGACCCAGTAAGAAGGCACTTCACCCCTAGTATTTCCCTCCAAAACCTATAACCCCCATCTAATCATGAGAAAAACATCAAACAGACCCAAACTGAGGGACATTGTACAGAATATCAGACCAGGATTCCTCAAACTGTCTGGGACACAGAGACATAGACAGACCACAGAAGCCTAAGGAGACAAGACCCTAAATGCAATGTGGGATCTGAAAAGGATGTTGGTGGGAAAAATGGTAAACTCCAAATAAAATTTGGAATTTAGCTGGTAGTAATGGACCAATGTTAATTTCTTAGTTCTGGGAAACAAACCATCGTTAGGTACATTAACATGGTGGGAAGCTGGAAAAGGGCATATGGCACTATCTCACACTGTATAAATCCACAATAAAAATTTTAATGAAAACATTCTCAATACTTATTTTTTTAACTGATGCAGATCCCTCACCGTCTATGCCTGTATGTTGTTAAATACAGGGATAAATGTTTGTGTTTGAATAGAAAAGAACATAAAAAATATATGTGCCTTATTGTGCACTGAGGTTTTCTTTGGGGATCAGACCATGATGAGGTGCCTTGCGTTTTTCTGTTACATGTGAATTTGGCATAAAAGACATGAGTTACCTTTGTAATTGGGGCAGGGGGGGAAGTCCTGCATGAGGTGGCCTTGGGATGCTCAGGTACAGGAAACTGGGCAACAGTTCTGCAGAATGAACTCCAAGATACTCAGGTCACCTGAACTCACCATGGGCAAGGTCCTGCTATCCTGAGCCAATCGCACCAACACCAACATGCCCTAACTGGATAATGAGTCGGGGGGGCCTTCGAGGGCACACAGCCCCTTCCCATTTGAAGATATGGTGATGCTGAGCATGCTGTTACCCGCACCGGTGACTTCTCCCCGTCCACCTTCTGCTCACCTCCGTCTCCAGCTTTCACACTCCAGGAAAATCCAAGCAAAGGGGTGACCCTCCTGAATGAGGGCATCATTATCATCTCTGACTTAGACAACACAGTAAAGTACGAGCCATCAAGGACAAGATCAGTAATTTTATCTACATTAAAAATTAAAATCTAGAGGTACCCAGAATAGTCAAATTCAGAGACAAAGTAGATGGTGGGTGCCAGAGGCTAGGGAGGACGGGCAGCTAGTGTTTAATGGGGACAGGGTTCAGTTTGGGAAGATGCAAACGTACTGAAGATGGGTGGTGTGATGGTTATACAACATGAATGTAGTTAATGCCACTGAACTTAAAGGTGATTAAAAAGGTAAATTTTAGGTTACAGACATTTTACCACAATAAAAAGAAATTAAAATCTCTGCACAACAGTTTACAAAACTGCAATGCACATAACTGACCAAAAAATAAAATTGGAAACATCTAAATTATCCATCAAACACATACTATGCAGCCATCACAAAGAACAATCTCCAAGATATATTGTTTAGTGAAAAAAGGTAAATTATAAGATACTGGGTATACTATGATACCACTGGTACAAAAAACATGCAAGAGGGTCCCCTGGCTGGCTTCTTGGAGAGCACACAACTCTTGATCTTGGCATCGTGAGTTCAAGCCCCATGATGGGCAGATATATATATATATACACATATATATATAAACATGTACATAACCAGCAAAATGATCCTATGAGTGTACACTATCTCTGAGATAATGCACAAGAAGCTGATAATAGTTACCTATTACAAGTAGAATGTGGTGGTGAAAATAAAATCTTGGCTCTACTTTGCATATCCTTTCTTCCTCCCCGAATTTTGTATATATGTATGTGTTACCTATTAAAAATATAGAGGGGGGCACCTGGGTGGCTCAGTCAGTGAGCGTCTGCCTTAAACTCAGGTCATGATCCCAGGGTCCTGGGATCGAGTCCCGCATCAGGCTCCCTGCTCGGTGGGAAGTCTGCT